ATAGGAACCTTTTATTTATCCAGAGATATTGGCATTAAATGTTATACTTTTCAGCCCAACTTTCTAGACTGTGGAAGGGAATTTACAGGAGACTGTAGCATTATTCTAAGGAACAGCTAAGAGTTCCAAAGCCAGACTGCCTGGTCTTGGAAATCTCAGCTGTGTGCAGTCTTAGATGAGTGACTTAACCTATGCGTCAGTTTTTACATCTGTAAAATGTGAATATTATATACATATATATGAGATACATATAGAATATATAGTTTTAGATCAAATGAGCTCTTCCATGGAAAGCTGTTAGCACAGGGTCTGGGACCTGACACTTAATGTATAATGTGTGAAGATATGCTAGGCATCATGCTAGGTATTTTTATATACATTGTTTATTTCATTCTTACAACAGCCTTCACTGAGGAAGAAACTGAGTTACTTGCCAAAGGTCAACACAGCAAGTATCAACAGGAGAGCCCAGATTTCAGCCAGGTCCAACAGACTCCACAGTGCTGCTGTGAATGTGGAGCGATGACTTCCAGAGGTGCCTCCTGTCTGTGGGCTGCTTCTCACTCTTTGAGGTCAGGGAAGGAGCCTAATGGACACTTTTCCATGGAACCTTTAGCTAATTTTTGGCTCCATTTCCCATCCTCCAGGGTTGGTAGATGCTTCCCAAGAAGGTTACTTGGTCCCTTAGAGACCAAATCTGACAGCAATATTGTTGGGCTTTTTGAGAGACTCTATAGGTGTTCCACTCTCGTGTCTTTCCTCAAAGGCAGGGAGTCTTTTTTGGTAACATGAAGACAAACAGACCAGAGCAGTGGTGAATTGTTCTGTATGAGAACAATCAAGGCTTTTTCAGCTTTGAGTGATAGAAACCCAACTCAAACTGGCCTCAGCCAAAAAGAAGTTTTTTTTGGTCCACGTAACTGAAAAATGTGGAGTTGGAGTCTTTAGGCTTGCTCTGTCCAGGTCTTCAAATGTGAACAGGTCTCCCTTTTTCTCCTCTAATTTCTTGACTCTGCCTTCATCTGTGTTGGCTTCATTCTAAGTTAGGCTCTCTCTGAGGTAGCAGAAGTGGCAACGAGTTAACATCAGGAGATGTGTAATCTGAGCAACCTTAACCAAGAACTTATTTTCCCTAGTAGTTCCAGCAAAAGTTCAGGAAGGACTTTTCTTTGTCCGGGCTTTACTCCGTTGTCTACTCCTGGATCCAAGAAAGAAGTTAATTCTCCAAAGGGAACTTACAGGGCTGGTGCTAGAAGATGGGACTGGATATCTGGCAGGAAAATCCATCATAGTAAGATGCCTTGGAATAGTCAATGCTGATGCCTCTTCCCTGGCCCATCTCACCAAGCCAGGTCTTCTTCTCTCACTGCTGCCAGGCACCCAGGATATTAGATAACGGGCCCTTTGATGGAAGAAGGCCAGCCAGTCCTCTACAGTCATCGTCCAGACCAATCACCCAGCATCTTTCTGTCCAGAACATAGGAACCCTTTCTTTAGGGTTGTCTTTGTAATAGTACATTCTTAAAACTGACTGTTAACCAAAAGCCCCAGTGTTTCCTGAGGACTGTCCAAGCCATCCTTGGGCACTAGATCCTCTCTTGTCAGTCATGTTTCCTGAGCAGCGGGGTGGCTTAAAGGTGTGAACCAGAGAGGCCTGAGGGAGAGATAGTCAGACTTCTGGTCTTTTCCCTGTGTGTGTCCATCTAGTCAAAGGACTACAGGCCACAGGCTTTGTTTGTTCTGTATAGTTGCTATTTTAATGTGAATTAGTTTCCAACATTTAAAAATAGGGGAATTTTATTTAAAATTTCAGATTTCTGGCTTTTTTTTAAAAAAAATCTAAGACCTAACAGTACTAGAACCACATTTCCCTATGGCAGCAGTTGATCAGAGCTAAATTGTGACTTCTCCCTTTAGACAGGGTATGTGCTTTCCAGCTCACCATAGTCTTCACCGGCCTGCTGTTTAAAACCTGGCCTAGTAAAGCATCATGTTTGAGACCCTGCTCTGTCCCAAGGCTTTGCTTCTAGCATTTGACTTGGGGAAAGAAGCTGGATTAATGTTCAGTCAGCAGTTTACTTGGGACAGTGCTGTTGCTTAGGAAAACTAATAACCCAATAAAAGAGTTTATGGAAAAGAGTGTGCACAACTTTGGTCTGTTTGTGAGTTTGGTCATCTTTTGCAGTAAATACTCTTGGCATATCAAACCTCCCATCACAAATGTTCCTTCTCAAATAGTAACATGTCCTTCTGTCTTACAAGTTGCCACCCAGTGAAGGAATCCCTCCCACTCCCAAGGGATGTTCATTCAGCCTCTGCTTGACCTCTTCCAGCAGCCAGAGAGCTTATTACCTCCTCACACGGCAGTCAGTTCCATTCTTGGACAGATACATTATTTAAAATATTTTTCTTATGTTGAGGCAGCTACTATCTCCTTGGGACTAAAAGCCACAAAATGCTGGAGCAGGGAAGGGAAACTTATTTTTTCAGGAGCATGAGCTTCCACTTATCCATCCTGCATTCAGGGCAAACACCGACAATCACAGTACTCTTTCTCACTGAGTCAGAAAGTAGAATGTACCCTTAAAACTTTTTTAAAGTTAAATCATGCTAAAATTTACAGAAGTAAAAATGTTCACTTGTAACTAGTGAGATAGTAAAAAGTTATGTAGACAATGTTAATAATTCCTCCTCCTCTCCAACATAACTAATGTGAACAGGGCCTGTCCTTTTTACATTTTTCTATACACACATATACACGTGTGAACATATATTCAGATATAAGATGTATAATGGTCTTTGGATATGGCTTTTTTTTTTTTTACAAAAATGACATCACATTGTACATATTATTTTGCAGCTTGTGGACATCCCTCCAGGTCAGTAAAGATCAAACACTATATAGAGATAAAGATTTTTTTGTGTTCTGATATCGGGATCAAGCATGTTTTTAACAGCTTCCTAATATCCCATTCTTTGAAGTGTGCCCCAATTTATTTTTTTTATTACCTTTTTAAATCCTCACCCGAGGATATTTTTCCATTTATCTTCAGACAGAGTGGGAAGGAGGGAGGGAGGGAGAGAGAAACATCGACATGAGAGAGACACATCGAGTGGTTGCCTCCCGCATGACCCCCACCAGGGTCAGGGATGAACCGAAACTGAGGTACACACACTTAACTGGAATCAAACTCTCCACTCCTTGGTATGCGGGCTGAAGCTCTAACCACTGAGCAAAACTGGCCAGGGCAGATGTGCCCCAATTTATTAATCATTCTTCATTGCTTCATTTCTTCAGGATCCTTCTGACCAGGCATACACTACCAGTCAATTTGAGTTAGCCTGAGAAATAAAACTCACTTGTTATGTGTGAGCCAATCTATTTTCTTATCTCACATTCTAGAGAAAAGAAACAGACAAGCTCAAAGATCTAAGTGAATCCATGGCTGGGGCCAGACTAGAACTCAATTTTCTTGACTTTCAACATTTCCTATGTCACATGTTGCCTCTCACTTGGAAATGTCTACCCAGGTTCCTGTAGTAAGTCAATAAATCTAATTCCTCTTCTCTGTACTACCCCTTCAAATATTTGGAGTCAGTTATGCAATTGCTCCTGAGTCTTCTCTTCAGGAAAAATTTCCTCAGTGCCTTCACATTTTTCTTTTATGATTTTAAAATCCCTTTACCATCCTGTGGGATGTTCCTTCTGTCTTCTCCCCCAGGACTATAGAAATCCCAGGTGTCACTTCCATTCTCACCTTTTTTTTTTTTGGCATCTATTATATTTATAAACACCTCCCCAACACACATATGTTTTTAAAATACACTGTCATATTTTTTTATTTAATTGATTTATTTTTATTACAGATGTTTCTCCTTTTTTCCCTATTGACACCCTCCTCCCCTTCCTGCACACACACACACCCCGCCCCCACCACACCATTGTTGTCTGTGTCCATTGGTTATGCTTATATGCATAAGTTCTTTGGTTTATCTCTTCCCTCCCCCCATTCCCCTCCTCAGATTTGTAAGTCTGAATCCTACTTCTATGTCTCTGGGTCTATTTTGTTCATCACCTTATTTTGTTCATTATATTCCACAAATAAGTGAGATCATGTGTTATTTGTCTTTTCTCTGATTGGCTTATTTCACTTAGCATGATACTCTCCAGGTCCCTCCATGTCATCTCAAAGGATAAGATATCTTTCTTTCTTACAGCTGCATAGTACTCCATTGTGTATATGTACCATAGGTTTTTTTGTCCACTCATTTATTGATGGACAATTGGGCTGTTTCCAGATCTTAGCATTTGTAAATAGTGCTGCTATGAACATAAGGGTGCATATATTCTTTCTGATTGGTGTTTCAGGCTTCTTAAGATATATTTCTAGAAGTGGGATCACTGGATCAAATGGCATTTCAATTTTTAATTTTTTGAGGAAACACCATATTGTTTTCCATAGTGGCTGCACCAGTCTGTATTCCCACTAGCAGTGTACTCGAGTCCCCTTTTCTCCACACTCTCGCCAGCACTTGTTGTTTGATGATTTGTTGATGACAGCCATTCTGACAGGTTTGAGGTAATACCTCCTAGTTGTTTTAATTTGTTAGTGACATTGAGCATTTTTTTCATACATCTCTTGGCCATTTGTATGTTCTTTTCGGAGAGGTGTCTATTTAGGTCCTCTGCCCATTTTTAAATTGGATTATTTGTCTTCCTTTTGTTGAGTTGTATGAGTACTCTATATATTTTGGAAATTAACCCCTTGTCTGATGTATCATTGGCAGTTATGCTCTCCCATATAGTGGGTTCCCTTTCCATTTTGATGTTTGTTTCTATTGCTGTGCAGAAGATTTTTAGTTTGATGTAGTCCTGTGTATTAATTTTTTCCTTCGTTTCTCTTGCCTTAGGTGTTGTATCAATGAAAATTCTGCATGTGATGTCTGAAATATTGTTGCCTACATTTTCTTCTAGGATTTTTATGGATTCACAAGTCACATTTAAGTCTTTTAATCGATTTTGACCTTATTCTTGTGTATGATGTAAGTTGGTGGTCTAGTTTCATTATTTTGCATGTAGCTGTCTAGTTTTCCCAACACCATTTATGAAAGATGCTGTCTTTACTCTATTGTATGCTCTTGCCACCTTTTTCAAATATTAATTGAGCGTAATGTCTGGGGTCAATTTCTAGGTTATTCATTTATTCATGAATGAATATGAGTGTGTGTGTTACCACCTTCTATGTGCCTGTCATTGTTCTGGGCTCTGAGTGACTATGGTATAGCTTGTATTTTGGTGGAAAGAAAAAAAGAACAAACATAAATAAGATGAGCCCTGGCCAATTTGGCTCATCACAGTGATGGCACTCAGACCAAAGAGTCACAGGTTTAATCCCCGGACCCAGTTGGGGTCATGCAGGCAACCAATCGATGTGTCTGTCTCACATCAATGTTTCTCTCTCCCTCCCACTTTATTAAAAAATAAATAAGATGATATATTAAGGCACTGAATTATATAGAAATGAAATACTGTTAAGAGTGACTGAGAGCAAGACCCCTTAGATTGGTCAAGGAAGATCTCTAAGTGACAAGTAGCTAGCCATAGATAAGTCTGAGGGAAGAGGATTCCAGTAAACAAGAACGAACTTGGTACAAGGTGAGGTTGTAGAGACCACAGGTATCTTGCAAGGTCCTGTAGGACAAGATAAGTTGTTCTGCTTTAGTGTAGATTTTAAGTGCAATGGGGAGTCATTGGAGGATTTTAAGCCAAAGGGGCAACAAAAGATTTCTGGGGGCCTGTTTAACTTGGAGCAAGGTTTCATTTTCCTCCACACTTGCTTCTTATATTCAAAGGAATTGATACCAGGCCAGTTTCTTTTGTTCAGTTGTCCCACAGAGGATCAGTGAGATTAGTTACAGCCATTGTCAGTTGTACCTCACAGCCCTCCTCAACAGGACCATGGAAGTTCAACGAGATAGCAGTAGCTCCTTAAGACTTGAGAACAGCAGATTCAATGTATCTTTGTATGGAGTTCTCAGTCCTCTTAGCGGCCAGAAGGGGATGGAGCCGAATGTGGTTTGGGGATGGAGCAAAGGGCACTGGTTGCAAGAAAGACCGGAAATGTGAGTGGAGACCAGGAGCTGGAGATACTTCGAAAAAGGTTTCAGAGTAGTGTCCAGAAACCAATCAACTGAAGAATAGGCCTGTTGTCTACCCAGTTGACACCGCTTCTCTTAGTTCCTGCCTAAGAAAAATTTGGATACTTTCTTGCTTGGGAGTTTTTGACTTTTGATGTGTCTCCCTTGTCCTCAGGTTGACATCATCTTGGCTTTTATGTGTCTAGATGACAACCTCAGATCTCTAGGAGCTAAAGGGACTTCCCAACCCCGAGCACTTGGGTCAAGATTAGTCTTCAGAGGGATGAAGAAGAGGGCTGGAAGAGATTCACCTCAGAGTAGAGATAGATGGGTCTTAGACACCAGAACTGCACCTTTTTAGAGTGAGAGAGCTAGATTGAAGGAGGTGAGATTCCCCCAGCCTTTTTGAGATCTCTGAAAAGGTTTCTCCACTCCCTTACCCTTAGGCACCCTGACAGGTACTGATCAGGTAGCTATCCATATACCCGAGATCTCCACTGGGCTCACCATCTCACCACCCATTTACATCCTAGCTTTGTGGGTCTTAGCTTGAAATAGCATAAAGAGTTCATAGGATCCTTTTAACAGGTGAGCAGTCACTTTTCCCAGCTCTCAGAGGAGGTGGCCAGTGACCAACAAGGTCAGGGCATGTGCTTAGGGTCATATGCCTGCTTAGTCAAGTCACCTGGGGCCAGGTCTCCATTAATTCAGATCTTTTTCTATAATGTGCACCTTCTCCTGTTACCCATTTCTGGAAAATCTTACCAACTTACTCTCTGTTTTAAATCCACATCTTTTGGCCCTATGAAAGCCAGGCCTGAGAGGTAGCATCTTTTCTGTAGTCTAGTGTAGGTCTCTTGAGTTCCAATCAGGCCTTTTCTCTGGATCTGGAGATTGGAGACAGAGTTGGTTTATTTTCTGGTATTGGCTTCACCTTTCTACCAGGAGCTCCACGGAGTGGATGCTCTGAAAGAGGAAGGCATGAGGCCTCCTTACCCTCTCAGCACCAGTCACTTTCAATCCCTTCATTCTATCTGACCCTCTTGCTTCCTTTTCTAGGAGCCTGGAGAGGTGTGGCTGGACCAAGACCTCCCCCGATGTGAGCAGGTTTCCTCCTCCCCCTACCACCTATTGCCACCACGCCAGGGGACATCCTCAAGCCCTGGCCTTCAGGGAAGAGGTAACAGGAGCCCGGAGCCGAGACCATGTGACGGCGCTGGCCCTCGCCACCGCCGTCCCCCCCACCCTGGCCCCAGGCCCGGCACCATGATGTTCCGAGACCAGGTGGGCATCCTCGCTGGCTGGTTCAAGGGCTGGAATGAGTGTGAGCAGACAGTGGCCCTGCTGTCACTTCTGAAGCGGGTCACCCGCACCCAGGCCCGCTTCCTGCAGCTCTGCCTGGAGCACTCCCTGGCGGACTGCAATGACATCCACCTGCTGGAGTCGGAGGCCAACAGTGCTGGTGAGTCTCCACCCCCAGAGATGGGAGCAGGAGGGAGACCTGGAACAGGAACACATGTCAGATGGCTGAGGAGGCCTACCCAACAATGGTGCTAAGAAATGTGGGTTCTAGACTTAATAGATGGGGAGTCCCTAACCTCCCAAGTTATTATGGCTTTCTTGGGGCTTTGTTGCCAAATATCCTCAGGCATGAAATGGGGGACTCCTGCAGGAGGGCAGTGTAAACTGGAAACTATCCATAGCAAAGGAAGGATCACACAGGGTGGCTTGTCTGGGAGGCTGAAAGAAACAGACTAAAGTCATTACCTATGAAAGGGGGATTGAAGGTGAACATTAATTTATTTTTCAAGCTCCAGGACATCAAGGCTAGGAGGGTATTCGGGGAGTATTTTAGAACTCTTCCGAATTTACAAGTCATCCTGTACTATCCTTAACCCCTGAAAGGTAAGTTGGACTTAAAGCATAAACAGCCTCAAGAGAGTTTTGAATTTAGCTATAGTCCATATCAGTTCCCTTAACACTCGGTAGAGACTCTGTGTCCTGTGAGGTTGGTAAACCAGATTTCTCTAGAACTTCTCCCTAGGGCCCTGGGCATAAATAGGAGTCAGGCCAGAGAACCTTCTCAAGAGACTCTGCTGAAGCCATTCTGGCCTTCTGGGTTCCCACAGTCCTGGATGGAGGCCCGTTGTTCTTGGTGACAGGTGGGAGAGATAGAGGCCAGAGAAGAAGTTGAGTTGTGTGCACCTGAAAGCTAGCTGGAAAGAGGGACCCCATGTAAAGTATGTCTAGACCCTTCCCACCTTCTTCCCCATAATAATAGTTCACACTGAGCCCTTACCGCAAGCCAAGTATACTTCTATAGTAACTTCGAAAACAGTGTTCTCGCCCTGGCCAGTTGGGCTCAGCGGTTAGAGCGTCGGCCTGCGGTCCAGAGAGACCTGGGTTCGGTTCCTGCTAAGGGCACATACCTCGGTTGCAGTTTGTCCCGGCCCTGGTTGGTCGTGCGGGTGGCAGCCACTCGGTGTGTCCCTTTCACTTCGATGTTTCTCTCTCTCTCTCTGTTCCTCTCTCTCCCTCCCACTCTACCTGAACAAAAAGTGGAAAAAATGTCCTTGGGTAAGGATAAAAAAAAAGAAAGAAAACAGTGTTCTTTGGTAGTTTTAGAGTCAGACTGTTTAGATTTAAGTCCCAGTTCTGTCACTTGCCATATTTAATCTTTCTGAGCCTTGGTTTCCTTGTCTTTAAATTCAAGTTGATATTTGTACTTACCTTCTAGGGTGGTTGTGAGCTCTGAGACTAGTGCCTGGCATGTAGTAGACAATAAATGTAAATTGTTTTTATTGTCAACTCATTTAGCCTTCACAACAACCCCATGAGATAGATACTGTCATTATCCCCATTGTATAGGTGAAGAAATCAGCATGGGCTGCTAGAATTGGGATTTGGGAAGCCACAGAGCTACCTGGCTTTCCTCATCTCCTCAGGCCCACCTGCCTTAGAAACAGGCATCTGTATTTTACCCAGTTACTAGGTACAAGTTACAGAAGCACCATGGTCATAGGAGAAGATGGTTCCTCAGGCCAATAGTCATACCTGTGTAAGTCCCAGTGTGGTGGACAGTGAACTGGAATAATCCAGCTTGGCTGCAGCAGACTCAGAATTCAACCATTTGGTGCCCCTCTCACCCTCCCCACCAGGAAGGACTTCCCTCTGCTCTAGCACCAAGAGCAGGAGTTCCATGGTTATAATATGGCTCCGCACCCAGAGTGGGGGTTGCTTTGGGGCAGGCCAGTATCTTACACAGCTTTATCACATATCCCCACCACCCCATCTAGAGCAGGCAGTTGGATGAGCAGTGGATGCCAGTCTTGGCTTTATATTAGATTCGCCATAGTGATTATTGCTATTTATTTATTAGAGCATTTTTAGTTTTTGCTTTTTTTTCCCAAAACTTGTGGTAAAATCATCAAACAACAAGTGCTGGAGAGGATGTGAAGAAAAGGGTACTGTAGTACACAGCTAGTGGGAATGCAGACTGGTGCAGCTACTATGGAAAACAATGTGGCCCTGGCCAGTTTGGCTCAGCAGTTAGAGCGTCGGTCTGTGGTCTAGAGAGACCCGGGCTCAGTTCCCGCTAAGGGCACGTACCTCGGTTGCAGTTTGTCCCCGGCCCTGGTTGGGTTGTGTGGGAGGCAGCCACTCGATGTGTCCCTTTCATGTCATTGTTTCTCTCTCTCCCTCCCACTCTATCTCAACAAAAAATGTAAAAATGTCCTCGGATGAGGATTAAAAAAAAAGAAAGAAAACAATATGGAGTTTCCTCAAAAATATTAAAAATTGAACTACTCCCCGGCTGGTATGGCTCAGTGGTTGAATGTCAACCCATGTACCAAGAGGTCACCAGTTTGATTCTTGGTCAGGGCACATGCCTAAGTTGTGGGGCATGCAGGAGGCAGCCAATCGATGTTCTCTCTCATCGATGTTTCTCTCTCTCTCTCCCCTTCTCCCTTTCTCTCTCTCTCCAAAACCAATGAAGAAAAAAGGATTTTTTTAATTAAATTAAAAAATTTGAACTGCCATTTGACCCAGTGATCCCACTTCTAGGAATCTATCCTACGAATCCTGAAACACCAGTCAGAAAGAATATATGTTCATAGCAGCACTATATACAATAGCTAGGATCTGGAAATAGCCCAAGTGCCAATCAGTAAATGAGTGGATAAAAAAGCTGTGATATATTTACACAATGGAATACTATGTAGCTGTAAGGAAGAAAGCTCTTACCCTTTGAGACGACATGGAGGGACCTAGAGAGTATTATAATAAGTGAAATAAGCCAATGAGAGAAAGACAGATATCACATGATCTCACTTATTTGTGGAATATAATGAACAAAATAAGGTGATGAACAAGATAGACTCAGAGACATGAAAGTAGGGAACAGACTGATAAACCTCAGAGGGAGAGGGGGTGGCAGGGTGAGAAGAGATAAACCAAAGAACTTATATGCATATATCCATAACCAATGGACACAGACAACAATACTGTGAATGTGGTGTGGGAGGTGGGAGCGGGAGGAGGTGTCAATAGGGGGGAAAGAAGGGATATCTGTAACAAAAATAAATAACATAATTAATTAAAAAAAAAAAAAACTTGTGGTAATATCAAACCATATGAAAGATGAAAAGTGAAGTCTCTCTTCCAGACTTCCATGTTCCAAATTTGTGTGTATATTGTGAGAGAGTCTGTGCATGTATGAGCACAGCCATTTTCTCCCTGCAGCTTTTTCATTGGTTTGATTGTTTTAACACATAGAACACTGCATATTAACCAGTTTGCTTTTTTTCACTTAACAGTATAACTTGAAGATCATTCCATATTCAGTATATACATGTATACTTCATTGCTATTAAAGGCGGATTAGTAATAAGAATAGGTAACGTTGATAGCACCCTGCCTGTGTATCAAGCATTGCATTACCTTTATTACTCATTTAACCCTCACAACAGCTCTTTGAGGTAGGTCTCACTATTTCCTCATTTTACACGAGGAAACTGAGGTCTGGAAGGGTTTAGTGACTTGCCCAGAGTTACACAACTGGTCAAAGGTGGAGTTGTAATTAGAATTCTTGCTCTTTACCAGTAGACTCTACCACACACTATGTTCTACCTTACTATTATATTTATTTTTTTCTTTATTGATTATAGAGAGAGAGGAAGGGAGAGGGAGAGACGGAAACATAGATGAGAGAGAACATCGATTGGCCACCTCCTACATGCCCCCCACTGGGGATCAGGCCCACAACCTGGGCGTGTGCCCTGACTGGGAATCAAACTGGTGACCTCTTGGTGCATGGGTTGATGTTCAACCAGTGAGCCACACCAGCTGGGCTGACCTTACTATTATAACAGTGCTGGAATAAGTACCCTTTAAGCATCTGTAGGATAAATTCCTAGAATTCTGTGGGACTGCAAAGTTTGCAGTTACGTTCATTTACAGTATTTATTGTTACCACGTTGCCCTTGGAGGTTATGGTACACTTTGTACAAAGAACCTGAGGCCCATCCAAGGTGGTTTTCATTGGTATGTTGGAGGTAATGCCTAACTAGGGTTGAGAATTGCTGTGGAATGAATTGAGTAATGAATTAATGTATGAATCAAGGTTTTTATCCTGAGTCCCATGTCAGATGGTAAGAATATAACAAGGTGATATTTAGATGAATGGAGAAGTAGGGAACATTTAGAATGAGGGAGGGCCATGGCATGTTCCAGAGTCAGCAGGAAGCCTGCCAGGATTATAGCAACACATGACTAGCGAGAAATTTGGTAGAGTCTTGAATGCTTCTTTCCTAAGAGGTAAATTTTGTAGGGCCTTGAATGCCTCTTTCCTGATAGACATGGGGGCTCCAAGACTGAGGAGGTCTCTGTCTCCTGATTCACTCCCATACTCATGTAGAACAGCCACCCTGACATATTTGTGAAGGAAGGCTTGGGGGCCTGCCTCATGCAAGAGCTGTGTGCATCCTCTGTTATTCCTCCTTTGTTCATAGGCCTTCCCATTCCTTTGTGTTTCCCAAACTTCTATCATTGGCAGAATCACCTGGTGGGGGAGGAGGTGACTATTAAAATTTAGGTTTCACACCCACTAACTTAGAATCCTGAATTGGGCCTGGGAATGAGTACCCAGGTTCTTCTGCTGACCAGGCAGTTTGAATGATGAAGCCCTGCTGGATGATTCGTTTGTCATGGGACAAATGAGAATGGGAATCAGAACACCCAGGAGTTCAGATCCAGCTCTGCCACTAACACCTCTTGAGACCTGGGCCAGCCCCACCCCTCTTGGGCCTGGGGATCCACATTTGGACAGTGAAGAGATTGTTCTAAATACTCTCCCAGTACCTTTTGGGCTTTGAAAGAATGTGCCAAAGAAGGCAGAGTTATAGCCATGCGTATTACTTTGTTTGGAGGCCCAGCACATTCAGCATGTTCTTCTAAAGCAAT